ATCTGACTGGAGAAGTCCATTCTCACAGCATCGGTAAGAGTTCCTCCCTACCACCTTCCATTCTCCTCCCTTCCCCCCTTCCCCCCCCCCCCCCCTTCTCCCCTCTCCTCCTCTCCTCTCCATCTCACCGTAGTCACGATTCGTCACGAATGAGTTGCGAACTCTCATTTCCCGAGCAGAAACAAATGCGGGAACAGGAATGCGTCATCAACTGCGTCGCAAGAAAAGCCCCGCCCGTTCGTTCTGCGCTTGAGTCGAAGAATAGATACTGAGAAGACTGGATTCTCTGCGCATTAGCGGAGGTACCGGAACGGCGGATGCTGCATCTTGCCGTTGGCCTACCGATTCGATGACACGCGCCTCAGAGAGACGAGAAAGAACGCCGAAAGGACCAAAAATTCCCCTGCCCTGGAACGTGGACGAGGTACGACGAGGGCCCCACGACCAGTCACGTGAGGCCCCCCTGGATCGTTTTTTTTCCGGCATTCTTCGGACATTCAGAATGCTCTAGGGTTACGGGTGCAACCGACTCTGGAGGTCGGCCGAGTGCGCATCCATCTATCGCGAACGAGGCGTAAGTCGTCCGCCTTTCTTTTCCATTCGAACGGGGGACTCTTTTAAGGCGTCTCGGACACCCGTTCCTGGCACGTGCCATGCACGAGGAGCATCCGTTCCCATTCCACAGATGCGACCGACTCCTATGAAAACGAAACCAGAGAGTTCCGGAATTCCTCGGCTCCTCATCTCGGTCTCTTCAAAGCTATCATTCGACGTTTCGTGGTTTCACGATGTTTCGGAAGAGACCGACGGCGCTCGTGTGAGTGTCCGAAAATGCAGATTTTGCCAAGTACCTCGTACACCCGACCGACTCGACTCCGACCCCATGTGCTGGAAAGGGAGAGTCTCCTTCGTGCCCCCCACGAGCAGAAGGTCCGCACTCCCTCTCGAGGAATTCGTTTACAGACGGAGGAGGAAGGGAAGACGATAAGAAACCAGATAATGAAGACGAATTTCGTTTCCCCACCGGAGCACGGAACGAAGGACTTCATTCGGGTCTCTTCTCTGACCACATCTACAGGAAAGAGTTATCGGCGTCTATTTCGATACGACAGTCAACATGAACCTACGAACCGACAGCAACCTATCGAGAGATTCAACTCCCGATGCGAAGATTTCTGCTTCAATTTCCACACTGACGTTCGTCTGCCGTTTGACCTATTTTCTCATCGACGAGACCGAACAGAGTCGATATCGAACGAGGGGGGAACGCGACACTCGTTGCTTCGACTTCTCCCACACATGGACTCACATTTGATGATACTGCAAGGACGTCTCAGAATAGAAAACTTTGGAAACTTTATCGATGAGTGGTTTCGTGATCGGACCAAAAAAAACGAAGAAGCCTTCATCGAGATAAATCGTATGGCTCACCGAAGATTCGTCTCCCGATATCAGTCCCATCGACGTAACTTTCTCTATATTCGTGTGAGAGACGAAGAGATAGTTGAGGCTCTCTATCGGCTCCCATTTCTGATAGCCATAGAGCTGCTGCTCGAGGGGCGTCTTTGGCACGATACCGCAGAAAAATTCTTGAAGAAATCGTGCACGACGCAACGGAGAGTCTGCACTGCCGATTCGTGCCACTGACCGTACTCGTGCGTTACTGCGAACCGGTCACGGGATGCAGCAATCATTTCCCGGAATAAATGTCGCTCTTTCTTTGCCGAAGAAGGAAAATGGGCTTCGTCTTCACAGTCTGCTCTCTTCGTGTTTCTCCTTCCCTTCCTCCCCCGTCGAGAAGTGGATTCCGGGAGGGGGAATGAGGACCCTCTACTCATGGCATCCATGGAGGTCGATGGAGGCTCTCCCTTTCTGGATCGTGGGGTCACGATCGAGTCGGTTTGGTATGTTGCGCGAGAAATACGAGGGTCGGTCAAATGAAAACCGGAAAATCGCAATATGAAATAATTCCCTATCGATGGACGTCCATAACTTCCAGTGTATGTTTGCAGAGATTGTGCGAAGATTTGTCATAGCTGGCAACACCAGGCGACTAGAAAGAACAGAGCAATCGCTTAAGCAACATGGCGCTCACAGTGTCTTGTGCGTCCAAAGAAACTGGGCGTGCCGTAATTCAATTTCTGACTGCTGAAGGTGTACCACCCATCGAAATTACACTGTGAATTGAGCTGTGACTGATTCCTCAATCTGCAGTCGATTCATCCAGTGAAACGTTTCTGTGACTCCGTTTGAACTCGTTCACATTTTTGATCATTTCTCTGGCGAAATCGTCGACCTGACCTCGGCGTGAGTCATTCTTCAAACTCTCGCGCCCGCTCCGGAAACGTTTGCACCACTTGTACGCGTGCCTCCGTGATAAAAAGCTGTCGGTGTCGACAACACTCATTCGGGAATGGATTTCGATGGGTGGCACACCTTCAGCAGTGAGAATTACGGCACGCCCAGTTTCCTTGGACGCACAAGGCACTGTGAGCGCCACGCTTCCTAAGCGATTGCTCTGTTCTTTCTGGTCGCATGGTGTCGTCAGCTATGACAGATCTTCGCACAATCTCTTCAAACATACCCTGAAAGTTATGGACATCCATCCATAGGGAATTGTTTTATATTGCGATTTCCGGTTTTCGTTTGACTGACCCTCGTATATCGGGAGTGGCTCACCTCTCTGATTCCCAATTTTCTCACGTCGTACATACGGTGAACTCCGGTACGTCATTTCTGAGAAATTAACTAGAGCAGTAACCCGACTATAACGTTAAGCCCACGGTCGATCTTGGATGAACGTTAGGGTTGCCTGCTTTGCACCCCAGACTTTCGAACTCGTATTCGCGTTATCACGATTTCAGCGGCTCGGTCCGATGATGTAGAAATCGTTTCACCGGTTCATCCCGTAGTCCATGCGAAAAAACGCATGTCTTATCATCTTGGGATTCCGTCGCCTCTTCGGTGGTTTACGTTCGGCTATAGATTTCAGTCTTCGAAGCCGAAAACTTGACATTCCTGTGCCCGAGAAGCGATTCTACAGGGTAGGCCAGAAAACGATGACCGTTTTTCTTTTGCTACAGTATAAGTTGACTCTCAGTATAGACAGCTGCGTAACCCGTGACTAGGAGCTGCAATAGGATCTGGAAAAATTGTCGAGTGTATGAACAGGAAGATTTCGGAACATCTGACAATGCAGCTAGCGAATACAATCGTGCTGATGTACGCGGAGACGAAGAGTGTGAATGTCTCACGATGACGCTTCTACGGTGTTTTTCACTCGAGTTAGACAATTTTTCACTCGACTCAGACACACGTGCATGGAACGTTCCTCATGCAGGGGTGTCGAAGTCAAGTGAAAATTGCCTAACTCGAGTGAAAAACACTGCAAGCTTTTCTAAGGAAAAGATGGGCTCTAAACAGGAACGATATCCTGCACCTTTATTATCATTTTGGTTCTTGCACAGTCTCCTCTTGTTCGAATCGATAATAAAGGTACAAAATAGTGTTCCTGTTTGGGAGTCAATCTCGTCCCTAGAAAAGCTTTGAAGCGTCTTTGCAAAACAGTCAAGCTCTTCATCTCCGCGTACATTGGCACAATTTTATTCTTTTGCTGCATTGTCAGATGGTCCTTGACCTTCGTGTCCAAACATACACTCGGAAATTTTACCAGGTCCTATTGCAGCTCCCAGTCACTGTGATGCAGCTGTCTATATATACTGTATGTCCATCCTGTATCTGCAGGTACAGGGTTGGCCAAAAAAATGGAAGCAGTCGAGAGTAAACACATGCCTTCATCCCATCCTCATGGAAACTTCGATCGAGGATAGGTGTTTCAGTTTTGCGAGACGGCCAGCATTCGCAGTCGTGAATGTTTCCTTTTTAAAGTCATGCTTTCCCGAGTTCATTCTAGAAAGCGTCTTTCACGCGTGTTGTGGATTGCCTGGAAAACTTCTGCCCATCGGCCCCGGAAGACATTAATGTCTTTTCACATCATTTCGAGTCGAGCTAAACTAATTTTCCCGTCCGAGGAGTTTGAAACTATTTCGATGTCTCTCCTCGCGAGGCAATAGAAGATCCGAATTTCCTGGTGTGGGCTTCCATCTGCTGGAGCAGAGTCGCGATCGCACCGAGGATGGACTCCTTGCAACGTGCAAGTATTCGAGAAAATGCACGGAAGGCATCCTAAGCACCTGTATACATTTCTTTGGAATTCCCAAGTGACGGCACCGGAGTGCGTGCCGTCATTCCTCGTTTCGAGGGGACAGGGAAAGTCTACCCTTTGGAGTTCATAAAGGGAAAGCGGAGCGGAGTGTTCCTTCCGTGGAAAGCACTGCTCAGGATGAAAAGTGTCATTCTTTTGAGGGCACACTGCCCGGGATGGAAAATCTCATTCCGTCGAGAGCACTGCAAGGGATGAGAGGTGTCTTTCCGTTCCGCGATCTTCGTGCCAAAATGCGTCGCGTTCCTTCCCTCCGGTTCCGTGCAGCGCTCTGATTGCGTTTCGCTCCCCGATCGTGACGTTTGAGAGTTTGCAACCGAGCCTCCCCGAAACTCGTTTCGACGAGAGGAGAACGTGGGAGTCGAATGAGAATTGAGCATTTCGTGGCACGATAAACTTGATGTCTTCGCAAGAGATTCCTAAGCTTCCAAGTTACTAATCCTTCTTGCTCCGATCGGAGGCGTCTTTCCACGCGATTCTTCCTCATTTCTGCACAAAGTTTCTTCGTTCCGATGGTCTTTCGAGCGATAGGCCTCCAGATCCCTCGTCCTAGCCCTGGTGAAAACAACTCCTGATTTCCTCTAATCTCACGTTTCTTGGCTCCGTTTCCGAAAAATAGGGTTATTCCTTTTACACGCACCGCTCTCGTGTTTACGAGGTCATTCGCCTGTTCTTCTTTCCTTTCCAGGTCGAGAAATCGGTGAGGTATCCATGAAAGGTACACTCCGTGTCATTGGAAAGAATCTAGTCGGCAATATGTTTCTTTCACAGACAAGTACACGGCAAGCTTTATTTATCATACTGGTATGAAAGAAAGATGGCTTCTCCTTCTACAGGCTGCGTTCCTCTCCGATCACTCTTCACTCTCTCCGACTCGCACTACAACACCCAAATTTAAAGTGAAACATCTCCGCCTTCGGTATTTCCATTTGAGCATTTAAATTTTAAATCCGAAGTCTGCAGAGTCGTCGAGGGGCCGAGGTCCGAGTGGAACGTCTCGTGATTGAAATTAATCGCACACAAAAAATGATCTGGACGAAAAACTGGATGGGAATTTCATCCACCCCTTCTTCTACTTCTTTATCGTCCGTGCGTACGATCCGTTCTAAAATGGAGGTGAAAAACGTCTGATAAACTCAGGAAAGAGGAGGAACGGAAGGAGGAAATTACGGTCGCGAAAGAGGGAGATCGAGAAGGAGGAAAAGAAACAGACGATGCGGGAGCGTTTAGAGCTGTTCGTCGTGGAAGAGGTAATGAGCCCAATAACCGATATTGAAGAGAGCAAAGAAAAGAGGGAAGGTGATGCGCGAGATGACGTCGATTCTCTTCGGGCGGGACGGGATCTTGTTCCCCCAGCACAAAATTCCTGTTCGACCGCTTCTCGGGTATTCCACGTCGAAGGGGATGGATTCCAAAGCCATGAGTTCTGCCTCGTTCTGGTGGTGATGGTGATGGTGAGGATGATGACCTCCCATCAACGGCTTCTGGCCAACACGCAACGTCACACATTAACTGCACGTTCTCGTTTCCGGCCTCGCGATCGCGGTCGAAACAGAGAGCAAATCGTGTCGTGCTCACCATAGCGGCGAATCCGGCTGCCTCCAAAGCGGCCGTATGTTCCATTTCCCGCTGTTTTTTCTCTTTCAGGGCCCTTTCGCGATGCATGTCCGACCTGGAAGCGTAATTGACGAGGGCGTACTCCAGAAGTGCCCCGAATACGAAGGTGAGACACGCACCCGTCCACACGTCGATGGCCTGCATCGTGAAAAGGACCGATTTTATTTTCACTGGATAGAGGCTCCCAATGGAACGGATTACTCTTCTACTTGGAAATAAAAATCAAATCAGTATTAGTATACTGTTTCTAGGTCGTGATGAAATTCTATGCTTACATGTACACGTAGATGACCTCTTTAGATGATTCGTGCCACGATTCTCGCTTTGCTTTTACACTCATAAGGGGTTCCCATTCACTATGAAATTGGTTCGACTAAACTCGTGTATATAGAGGAGTGAATCGCTTCGAACGTCGGTTCTCAACCTTTTCTTGTCAGCGGCACACTTTTCTGGCAACGAGATATTCGTAGCACGCACATTCGCGAACCTCCATGCATAATAATGTAGTCCTAAATAATAAAAAAAACCAAAATCACGACCTCTAAGTTCGTGAAATGTTTGCTTTTAACTAGCACCCAACAAGAAAATTATTTGAGAAGATTATTCTAACTCTTCATTTTTGTTTATTTCACTTCAATTTCACTTCAACTCACCTATTCACGTCCTTGGTTCCACGGAAAATCGAGATATGGCTCAATTTTTGAAGTGACCCAGTCCAGGTCATTTGCAATGCTTGGATGGGACATCAACATATTTCTTTTTTATACTCTAAATAAATGCTTGTATATATACAAAAGTCATCAGCATCTTCATTGCAGCAACGATATCTATCTTGCGTACATGTCTATGATATACATTCTCTTAATGAAGTTGCATTCCAGGAATGCAAAATATGAGTCAATTTTGATCAACATTGACTCGTATACTCCTAGCACACAGTTTAACGTAGATGGAAGCCAGAGGTACGATACTTTGAAGGCAGTTCTTGAGAAGAGGCTTGCTGCCCACTTCATGGTGTTTCTCGATGACACCCGTGAAAGAGCATCGTTGTCTCTTGGCTTTCTTTCCCTCTTTCCGTGACAGGCCAATAAAATGAAAACTGGGTGGATACGCAAGGCCTCTCGGGCGGCTCCCCCGCACGGCTAACGGAATAAATGCACTGTCGAAAGGCAAATAATGTTACCCGTGTCTGGCTGGCTCCGATAGGGAAACTTCGAGATCAAAACAAGGATGTTTCACGAAGATGTTTCGATGAAGGAAGATGTTTCGCGAAATGAACCGACTTTATCCGACACGACCTCAATTGTTGGACGGGAATGGAGCGAGTTCGTCTTAATTCGCGGAGCAGGCAACAACTATCTATAAAAGGACTCGATCGTATCGATGGGTCTGGGGCTGTTCCTCGACTCTGCTAAACTTAATCTCAACCTGATCTGAATGCATTGCAAAAAGAAACCAAGGGAGTCTGTCGTTTCTCATCTCGGGGCGAAAATAGCGTACGTGTACACAGAGTAGGGGAAAGGGACCGGTGGGGACAAATCCGGAATTACTCATCAGAACGGGATGATGGGAAGAAATCCATTAACTGTGGCGCAACCGAAGCAGGATAGGGAGGGGGGAGGGGGAGGGGGTTTCTCATCCCCTCTTGAGACTTCTTGAGTGGAAGTCATTAAGACTTACATCGCAGCTTATGAGATATGAATATTTATTACGTCTGCGGGCACAGTCCTTGGACTCCCATGTGGTTTCCTAACAAACATTAATGAGAGTTCTCTCCCTTCATCCCAACATTTAGACTTGGTCTGACCTTTCTAAAAAATATTTCCCCTTTTAGACGAAGTTTTAGCAAGAGTTTGAGCTTTGGTTTTTGCCTAGATAATGTTTAGATTTAGATAGCGTTTAGCAGAGGCGAGGAACAGGCCCCTCATCTCGAGAAATCTCGTCCACTTTTTGTGTATTACCTTCTACTAGAGGCGATGAATGTTTTTCTTTCAGAATTTAATTAAAGGAACTATGAACGCCTTCTATAGTGCATGTGGTAAATCGATTCCCTGCGTCTTCTCCTAGCAATTGCTCCTCAAGTAGCTCAATTTTTGGTCACCTAAATTTGATTAGAATCTCCACTAGGTCCTGAAATTCGACCGAAATGATGGTAGGGTTCTTTGAACTTTGAACTTTTAATTTAAATACCATTTTGGACAACTCCTGTGAGCCTTACAAACACGGTGATCTCCAATTCCTCGGTGAACAGGGAATGAGATCGACGACGTTTAGAACGACAGAAACTTCTGGTCCGACTGTATGAGATACTGTACGAAAAAAATGTTGGATAACATCCTAGAGTAATGTGGGCACATATCAGCAAGGTAAGATCGGTGAAAAATTATTATTACAGTTTTATTTTGCATAAGCTCATTCTTTCTGATTCCATTATTATGAAATTGAAAAATGCGCACCACTTGGAACGCGAACTGGTATCTGGACCTGTCTTCAAGTTCTTAACATATGGCAGATGAAGCATGAATCCCAGTTGATTCAACGCATGAGATTAGGAGTATTGCTTGTCGTACCCTACCCTGCTTGAATTCACCCCAAAGTTCGACTTTGAACTTTGGGGTCGATTCAAGACAGGAGGCACGGAGAGGCACGGCGCTCGTTTCGGCGTCTGAAATTGATTCCCTCACCTTCGTATAGGAGACCGGAGGAAGGGAAGCATTGATGCCAGACGTCTGGGTGGCCATGGTCAGCAAGGTTGTCACACCCAGGCTCACGCGGGCCACGACTGCACTATGATCCAACCAAAACGACACCCAGGATACGATGACCAGCATGCACGATGGAATGTAGATCTGAATGAGATAGTAGCTGAACTCTCGTTTGAAGATCAAGTCCACTCGGAGGCAACTGTATTCCCCTGTAGAAACACATTCAGAGAAATGCTGGAATTCGTAACGGGCCGCTACATGTCGAGACCGGAAACGACATGCTCTTCCCTTGCTTCGACAATCGACGAAAAGACGATCGACGGGCATGAAATGCAACGTGACATCATAACGTGGGCAGAGTAATCATAGGCTTGCTTCCGAGAACGTCTAGAATCTAGATCGATCTCAGACGAAGAGTACAAAGAACGGAGTCTGAACTGGGGAATTGAGCATCTGGTTTTTTATTCTCGTATTCCTCTTCGTTACACATTCACCCTATGAGAAACGATCAACAAAGAATTGCAGAGAGAGAGCCATCGTTAGCCCTATCTTCGATGGGGTACAAAAAGCATGAGACATGGGAGACGCAACGTAACCAAGGTTCCTCCCGCTCTTATAACAATAACATCCGTTTTACCTTGTAAAAATAGATCCATTCACACGTCATATTAAATTTCCATTCGATCGACAGCGAAATGCTCCACATATATGACAAAAATCTTCTGCGATATAAGTCTACTTGCATGCCAGCGTATACCTCGGAACCGTTACACACAAATACTGATGAACGTGAAACGTGGAATGTTTTCGCTGTTGTATCTCTATGGACTCTCCTAAACGCATGATCACAGATCTATTCCATATCAAAGGAAGGAAGGAGGGAAGCAAATGGAGGTAGAGCTCGGACTATCCCTCCTTGACTGCTACCTCGGATTCATCGTACTACGATTTCCTTTTTCATTCGTCGCCGAGTACTTGTCGAGTATCGATACTGAAGAACGAAGAACGTCCGAGTTACTCCGAATATGACGCGATTTGGAAGAGCTGGAGAGGGAGAAAAGTTTGCTATCGATGCCTAATTGTATCAATGTCGTGCGCACCTTAGGCCTACTCGGGAGGGAGGGAAGACGACGGTCGGGATGCCTTTATTTAGCCTTCTACCTACAGTAGATCCGATCGCATTTCTATCCGTCCTATTTTCCTGTGGAGAAAAGTTTTCGTGGAAGAACCGTCGAGAGAGTCGACTATCTTTAATCTTCTCGTTCCTCTTGGAAGAGATAGGTAGACCAATATACGAGGTTAAACAGGGCGAAGACGAGCGGGAAGGTGATGCGAGAGATGACGTCGATCCGTTTGCTTCTAGTGGGGAACTTGGAGAGCCAGGACTTGCAGCAATTGCTTCTCTTACTTCCACCCATGTGAATTTCACACTGGCGTGCCTTCGCTTCCAGGACCATGGAGTCTCCCCCGTGGTGGTGGTGGAGGTGATGATGCATGTGTCCGTGGTGTCTCATCAGGGGTTTCTAAGAGAGAAACACACGCCCGTAGAGAATATTAAGGAACTGCCGACGGAAAGGGAGCCCGGTAGAGCATCGTGTGCCCCCCCCCCCCCTTCCGTGGGTCGTCGTTTCGCCTACTTCCAATCGCCGATTCGGATCGGCAAAAGAGAGCAAAGAAAGCGAGATGGACTCCGACGGAAAAGTAGAGAGAATCCGCGGAGAGACGGTTCTTCCGTCCTCAGTCCTGCACGCCTGTCTCGTCAAGAACTGGGGACATCATCCCTCTCGAGTTCCAGGCTATCTCTGCGAATTTCGACAGTGTCATCCCCATGGGAGACGTATCGTTCACGAACGAAGGATGCTCCCAACCTTCGACGAGAGTTTCCTATTGCGAAATTGCGAGACGACATCTTCCGGTCTTACCGAACCCAGCCACGATTTCTTACTTCCATCGCGCATACTTTCGCCATTCGAAGGACTATGATTTCGTACATGAACCGTTCGACGGAAGAGTCCTGAATATCGAGAGGAGTTAGCCCTCAGAAACGTTGTTAGCCATTTTGCCCTTCGTAACAGAAAGCTCGGTGACGCACGGTTGCACTCACGAGGGACCTTGAATAGGTGCTCGTAACACATTCTTATTTTCCTATGGATGAAAGCTACGTTGATAGGTGAAAATCCCTCCAAGATTCTCCCTCCCAACATCCAGACGTCGTTGCATCTTAAGCGATTTATTGAAACTTCATCAGTACTCGGATTGATGTGTACCATACAGTTGTGAAATGACACATCGAACAAATGAATGTAAAAAAGTTCCCAACCACGAAAACCTTGATTTGAGAACTTCAAAAGAACTTACAGAAAATATACCTAGTAATTATGCGTCAAATGTACCAGAAGGCAGTTGGCGCCAAACATGGCTTGCATGCCGGAACGCGGCCATAGGTCGCAATACAGAACCAAATATTATACTTGTCTGAGTACCAGAGATGTTTGAAAAAAGTGTCTGTTGTGAAACAGCCCGTGTACGTTTAGGGAGAGTATTGCGAAGCGATGCGAAGGAATCAACTTCCTTGCTTTTGTACAGTATAAATAATTTGAAAAACGAAAGAGGCTTGCCAAGACTTGCGGAAAGTCCTTCCTATGAGTCTACCATTACGAATTCGAATATTTCAAGTATTGACTTTGGTTGCCGGTGATTCATGGTATTAATTTTTTTCGGTCGTTAGAAATACAGAATTTCCGTGCTGGAAAACCTCGTGCCATCGCGGTGTTAGTCGCCCGGGAAAAATACTTTTTCATCGAGGCGTCAAATTCGCTTCCGTTGCTCTCTCTTTTCAACCATACTCATCGAGCATAATTCCTCCATAGAAAATGATCGTTTTATAAAGCAAATATATGCTAAGATCATTAGGTTTCTTTTTTCTATGAGAACGGACCGGAGTCTCACGACTCACCATGTTGAAAGTGGCGTTACCGTCCTCGAGATGATCCGAATGCATGGCAGCTGCTTCCAGAGCCGCTTGCTCGGTTTCCCATTGCCGCCGCTGCTTCTTCATGTTCTCGCGATGCATATCGGAACGAGACGCGTAATTGACGAGGGCGAATTCCAGTAGAGCCCCGAAGACGAACGTGAGGCAGACGCCCGTCCAAACGTCGATGGCTTTCGTATAGGAGACCGGGGGTAAAGAGGCGTTGATACCCGAGGTCTGTGTGGCCATAGTGAGCAGGGTCGTCACACCCAAGGACACCCGGGCCGGGATGGCATTTTGATCGAGCCAAAACGAGACCCAGGACACGATGACCAGCATGCAACATGGGATGTAGATCTGGATCAAATAGTAGCTGAACTCCCGTTTGAACATCAAGTCCACCCTCAAGCAGCTGTACTCTCCTGGAAAAGAGAAAGACGGATCATTTTTTCAGCACGTCCCATTCTGTTTCCCAGGAGGAGGGCTGCTTGTTCTCTCGTCGGGTGACATCGCTACAGTGTGCGCCAATTTTGATATATCGCATGCTGGTCATGCATGCCCCTCCTGGAAGTACCACCAAACCCAAACGGGGACTCCCACCGTATGAACTGAACGTTCGAATGCCATCACGTTCCGTGCATGAATAAACGCCTCATTCCATATATTTTAGCAGTTCGTATTCCACGAAAAGTCTCTTTACATGCTCGTAATATTTCATGTCGAAGTGTATCCGCATTTAAAAAAAAATAGTACTGGGGGGTTAAAGGGTTTTTACTCTGGTACTTCATCTTTCTTCCGGGTGAAATCCCGACCGATCTGTTTGCTTCCATTCACTCTATCTCTTTGGCACCCGAGAGAGAAGGTACTGCACAATTAATCAAAATGGGCGTCTGGATGAAGCTTTCTTCCCGAGAAGACTTTTAAGCACTTTGGCGAGATCGAAGCTTCCATTCCCAAACCGTCGACGTGGATGCCGGGTAGAAGGGGCTCATCGTTACAGATAGACTCGATTGGAATTATGGCGATGACATTTTTACAAACTTCTTGCTATTTGCAGCAAGATCTTACCCATTGCACTCCATGTGCAATACCTGTTTTCGTGCAGAGGTATGTCTCTTATTTACTGAATCTTCCCAGGTGGGGAGAAGCCTCTCCGGTAGAGTACGGGCAAGGTAAAAGAACAGGGAGCAGCACTTCGTCATGATCGGAGTGCCACGTCTCCAACCGGAGCTGCCAGTTCCCTTCTGACCTTCGCAGCTGAGGGATCCAATGTTAAAGATGGAGATAGAGGCAGTCAACGACAGCGTAGACTGGGTTCCTAACTCAACTCATGTAAGTATAAGCAGACAGTGCCTCACGTTGTATTCTTCTTTCACAGTCCAATCAACTTGCTTCGTCCTCTTCCTGTTCTCTTCACTCATCGAAAGGAGGCCACTACTGGACTGATTTTGCTCAGCTACTTTAAAAAAAATAATATTTATTTTCGTGTCCATGTCGCCAGATTCCAAGAGTTGTAACGGCCTCTTCGGTGGCAGATGACTCGATGGGGTTGTCCAATTCGAAAGAAACGCAGAACATTCTCCTATTCAAGGTTGGAGGAGATGCTTCGATGCAGAGTCAGGACACTCTATGCATATGTATTCCAAATGATTATAATATATATATGAATGCTACATTATGCTCTTCACAGAATTATCTATACAATAATAAGTCCCAATACAAACGTGCTTCCTTTTGTGTGCAAGCAAAGAATGACAATCTCTTGCCAAGATGGGATGAACTTTGATACCCGACGCTCAGAAGTTTAACAAAATTTGTTACTGCACCGCAGTAGGACACACACACAGAAAAACGCCGGTGCATAAGATGATATCTGGTGGTCCTTTGCATCTATAGTCGTGGTCAACAAAAGTGGCCCTCGTGCCCATGGAAACAAGTGAGTCAGCATGAAGAATTGAATGGTCACTTCGATTTCGGAAAAGGGTTTCTCTCAAATATTTTTTAAATAAAAATAACGTATATATTGAGCCGTTCAAGAAGGCGGAAACTGGTCGGCTGGCAAAATTGCAGGCAGCACTCAAACTACTATCAATAGGCATCTCGGTGAGATTTTAGATGACTGCCTTCAGAGAAGAGGATGCAGGGGCGAGGAAAGAGGGGGCAGGGAGTAGGGATAAGGGAAGGGAAGCAATAAAGGACTTGCGAAATTGCGGGCGAAATGAGAATTTCCGTCATACCCATGAAGAAATCAAGGATTTAAGTATATTTTCATCCTTCCGATAATGAATCTGTTCTAACCCGGTATCAAACGCTTAGTATTTATGATTTCTCTTACAAGGAGTATATTGAATCGATGCGTATTCTCCGCGATTGTTTAGGTGATCTACTCGAGAGAAGATTCGAGTAGTTGCTGAAGAGTGACCTAAGAAGGGCGTTCCAAAAGTTCCTGGCCCAAGGCACTCAGTCGCATTACGTTGAAGGGCGGATGGGACTCCTCCCCGGTCCCATCCCCGGTACCCTCCCCCATACTCTCCCCGGTCCTCTACCCTGTCCCCTTAGCTCAAACATTTGCTAAGAGACCGGTCCACTCCATTCATCACTGCCCAAGACTCAATTTATATACATTTTCAAAATTCCATCAGGCAGCAGGATCGATAATCCACAGCTGTCTGCTACCACAGAATATGATCCAAACCTTACCAGTCGAACTGTAATGTGTAACGCAATCGGTGCAAAGGAAGAACAGCGCATTACTGCTGGTAGCGCCTTGGACTGGGAACTTTTGGAAAACCTCCCAGGGTGGCATCGCTCGGAGACACGATGAATGTCGGTTTAGTGATGGTAGTCCTATAGGAACTAGTGTTTGGTCGATGTTTCGCTCGTACCGATATCGCATTCTTATATCTCGATGTAAGAATGCGACACACGTCCATCCACGCCGACGAGATTTGTGAGATAGAGAAGATTTTCATCAGCGGGATTCGTTTCATTCCGTCGTCAAAAGATACGAGGGGAATTCGGTTCATCGAGGAAGAACTCGTCCATATTAACGTATATATAATATACGGCTTCCCATCAAAGGAAGAGCATGTCGCACTCCCGATAAACAGAAATAGCTTTCCGATGAAATGAGTTTTCGATGAAAGGGAAGTCCTTGAAGGAACTCACCGGTATTGGTTTTGCTGTTGCAGTAGTCCGTATAGAATTTCTCCAGAGTGAATCTGGGTAGATGGAGATTCTTCACAATCTGAACGGGATCTCCATCTTTCCATAGGAAAACCAAATCCTCGGTCGTCCATCCATCTGCAATTCAGGATATACAGTACAGAGTCTTCTCTCGTGTGCAAATGAGAGAGAGAGAGAGAAGATGGGAGCGAATTCACGAAGACACTAGTACACATGGGAGCGTAATGCATGGATGGAGAGAACTTTGTCATCATCTCTCCGATCCTCGGTCGTCTCCACGGGGAGCAAACCAATTTCCTGTTATCTCTCTTTTCCCCAAGGTAGTTCTTGTCATGCATGAATCCGATCGGATGGGAAATGAATTCATACGAAAAGAGAAGCCACGGGATCGAGAACGGAGAGTATTTCTCACGCGTGCCTTCTCGATTCGCTTCCCCGATTCACGAGGACCCGTTTTTAGAGGGCCGAAAGGGCTAAGTTCATCTCGGGGGATTCCATTACGGGGTGGAGATACATCTGAGAAAATGGACGGGAGTTGTCCGAGGAAAAGAAGAGGTGAGATGGATGGTTGCCGAGTTGACAGGGAGACTGTCCGGTTTGGATGCGGATAAAACGGAGGAGCCGGTGGTCGGCTCATTATTGTAATGTCGTTAGGTACCAAGGATTCCACCCTTCCCCATCTAGCTAATGGCATTATCCCTTGTCCGACCTGCAGCTTTTTCTTCCTCCCTTTCTTTCTTTTTTTCTTTCCCTGTCAGTGGTCTCGACACTATTATTTTTGTTATATCGTCTTCTTCCCCCCCCGTCTTTCTTTCGCGGGTCAGTTCAAAAAAAGTCGGCGAGGCAGTCACATACGATGAACTTTTCTCTACACAGGTTCGTGTCCCTGTCCGATCCGAGAGACTTGTCATAATTTCGGAAATTTGATTAGGAAATTCGGCTACCTGTCTTCGCCTACGAGAAGCGTCGCGGTGCAACGCGAATACCGATGGGATCGAACGGGAGTGGATCCACGTGATACCCAGCCGTGAACGGGCTCCGTATCTCGGGAGTACTTCGGAACGAGAAAGGTCGTCCAGTTACATAGAAAAATCGAATACCGATGCGAACATACGAGTATACTCGTATGTAATAGTCGCAAGACACGAGAAATGCTCAATAGGGACGGGAGGCCTCGCAACGTTTCGGTTTCATATACGCGACGAAACTACATTTTTCTTGGTGTTCCCTGCTTCGACTGCACGAGACGTATGGCCTTGGATCATGATGAATTTCTCCTGGGATGAACGTTATTCTCCTGCCGACTTTCGAGGGATGGATGTGGTTCATTAGAAGAAGGGGAAAAAGCAAGGATGCAGGGTTCGCTTTCATAGAGAGGAATATTTCATTTTTCATCCTGTCATGCCCAGATCGGCCTGGCCGCTTAACGAGAGAGTGAGAGAGAGCGAGAGAGTGAGAGAGAGCGAGAGAGAGCGAGAGAGTGAGAGAGAGCGAGAGAGAGAGGAAAGTGAAAGTAAAAGAAGGTAGAAGGTCCTTGATTTCCCTCGGGTTCGCCACGAGACGATCTCATCCTTTTCTCTTTGCCTTCAAGAGTTTTTCTCCTTCCAAGCATGGACGTTCGAGAAAAAAGTACCTTTTCTCGCTTTCTCTACAGCCGTTTCGTTTTTGGCCGCATTACGAGCCACGATACGAGTGTAGGCCCGACGGAAGGAAAAGAAAAAAGAAAACGCTCCATCCTGACCCGTATCGAAGGCAGCAAATAGGAGAAAGGGAGAGTAATAAAGAGAGGAAAGGAAAAGACAAGGCATACATTTCGCACAGTGTCGGGTAATGAATTTTGGGCTCTACTCTCCAACAGTTACACTAATACGGAAACAAGAATAAAAGGAGGTCATTCTCCATGATACTTTTACTGCTTGGCGAAGCGTTCGTGACCTCGGAGTGAGCTTGTTGTCTCCCGGAAATGAAAAAATATTCGCAGTCAAAGACGCAGGGATGGACTCGAGCGAGAATTTCAAGGATGATTCATCCCAGGTCCATCTTCCCTCCCGAGTTTCTTCTTTCCTTGCTCCGGTCGTCTGGTCATGGTCGGAATTTCGCTCCCAAGTGTCATGTAGCTTTTCGGCTAAATGTTGTCCTGCTTTTGTGTCTATACGGCAAGGAGAGTCAAAGTTCATATGTTTATCGATAAGCGGGAGCACCGAGCAGAAATCGTCAACTCCTATAGAAAGTATAGAAAGAGAGGACAGAAGAGGGGAGCAAGTATTGGAAGTCTTCGGGGGTGCAAGACGTGAAGAAAGTAAAATGCTCTTATTTTGCCTCTCGTGTGACATGCATCCCCGTCCACGTATGAGCGGAGGACTAAGTAACGAGTGTACGCATTTTCGAAATATTTCACTATTGCTCAAACATAGAGAGCTCGTGAGGTTACTTTCAGAGCATATGGGCTGTACTCGAAACCGCCCATCTGTCCCCGTTCGTTCGAGACCGACTTCATTTTGTCAGAAGGGATACCTCGGGTGAATACGTGCTGCCCGTGTGGAACGCCTACCCGCATGTCCTGAGAAACCAGCAGGAAAATAGGAATGAATTCCGGGAAGTGGCAGTTTGGAAAGGATATGCGCAGCCTGTAGATCGCACCTGGCCGCACGTCACCGATAAACAGAAGTCGGAGGAGGAGAGGAATAGAAGGGGACAGGCGGTCTGTTTGGTGCTTTGGCGGCCGGAAGGCGGCCTGTTTTACCCGCCCGAACGCCCATCAACTCGTCCAGAAAAACTGGCGGGCATATCCTCAACATCTGGTACATTCATTTATTTTCACTCTTAAAATCAATGTACGCGGTAGCACCCATTACCTTTCTTCAATCCCTTCCGGCCAAAAACTTCAACCGTCTCGTATTCCTCTCTGAGAGCATCGACGTGAATGAAATTTGGCATACTTCTTCCTTTCTCAACGCAGAATCACTCCAGCAAATTTGAAGCTCCATCTCCCCAAGGTTGTGGAGATCACTGAATCTTGCTTTTAGGAGATGTGAAAGTCGTTCCGGTATATATATATTTTTTCTCCCCCCCTGGGTAGCCGCTCCTGAGAAGTTTTTGGAGGAAAGAGACCAACCAAACGAAAGATATTGACCTGGAGGTGGCAAAAAGTCTTCTTTTTTTGGTTTCAGTGCACCATTTCGCCATGAAAAATTAAATTAGATGCCGTTAATTTAGACTTAGCGCGATGGATCCAGTCCTGTCCTCCAGTGTTGCCGAATATCATGCCTTAGTTATCCCAGATTCATGACTTCATCGGCCTTAGTATCATTGTCTGGATCTTCTCTTTTTAATGTAAGAGACATTAATGTGCTGAATTCATGGGATGAGCTGAGATTGAAGCTGTGCTTTGCAGTGGCCGATCGATTTGGTGGAATACGAAGACATCTCATTCGAACATCCCTAAATTAACACGAGGAGGCGGCCAGCTTCCATGTCATGCTTTCTAAAGGCACCATCTCAGAACGAGTCGAGACGATTCGAGTAACTCTGGATAGGCCTAATGTTCCCCGACGGCACCGAAATGGCTCATGAAACTCGTAAAAGAGCTAAATTTGGTCTAACGTTACACGTTCTCTGTTAAATGTGCTATTAGAGATTGAATAGGCCTACGATTGGCCTAACGTTACACGTCCTCAACGATGTGTCTCGAAGACCAGGGATTAATCCTTATAGACCTAATTGGTTCGTAGGCCGAGGATTGAGTTTCTTTTGAACGGGAAAAGGTAGGCCTAGGCCTGCCCCGATGACAGTCCGTCGGTTAAGCTTCTTTAAGTTCCGTAAGGAAGGAGGGGGGGTGAGGTTGAAGTTGAAGTTGAAGAAAGGTAAAACTTTTACAAATTGGTTTTCACATTCCTACATATCCTCTTTTTATGGCAACCCTCACTCACAACTCTGCGAAAACGTCAATCCGATGAACTTATGGTTTCATCTCGTCGTCTTCGATCCTATATTTGCCGTTAACGATATAGAACTAGCAGTGTCGTCCCATTTGATAGAAAAGAAAAATAATCGTGTGGAACGAAGCCCCCAAAACACAGGAGCGTGACTCAAAAAGCGTCGACGATGACACGTGTCTTTGCAGAGATCCATTGCGCGACGATTCCTGACACGTAAGCCCCTTAGGCATGCTAGAGAAAGAGACGATGCGACTCACAGCTGGCCATACGAAGCTGGCACGTCTGCCTGTCCAGGGGGTAAAGCTTCAGGTTCATGGGGCAGCTCAGGGTCAACGAGATTCTGTCGAGTAGAAGAAAAACAAAATTCTCATCACCCTTCACGCGAAAGTTCGAAAAGAAACGAAATTGAAAAATGGATAAAATTCGCAGGAATGCCAGCACGTGACCGGGCGCGTACGTCGAGACGAGCGCAACGTTTTACATCGGTGGCATTCACCGGGATTCTGAAGGGAGTTCGTCCTATGAGAGCATGGGAGGGAAGAAGTGGAGAAACTTTCTTCCCTTCGACCTACCCCCTCATTATTTTCTCTTCAACGTTCTCGATGACGTCAGTAGAAAGTTCCGGCTGACCTTTTCCATGATGGATGTCTTTCGGTCTTCCATCCGACGCGGGAATCGAGCCATGAATCATCATCGTTTCGGACGATTCTTGGACACGATAATTGACAGCATTCCGTCGATGATTACGATCTCCCTGGCAGCGATCCAGAGTCTTACATCTCGCAGAATTGGTGAGGAAGAGGGAGAGAGGGCGACTTCCCGAGAGTGGGGTTCCGTCCGCTTCCCGGAGAAACTACATCCGTCCGCGTCGGATTCGCGATTCTCAGAAACGGAAGATTTACCCTCGGCGTTCCCCCGAGACTGGAAACTGTAATTGCCATAATCATCCGAGGAAAGGAAACGGTAAAGCTCTCGCGGGAAGGTTCATCATTCTCCTCATCGTATTCATCTCGGTCTATCCTCGTCTTGACGTCATAATCTACTTTTCATCTAGTAGAATCCTATGTGGTAAGACATGGAAGGGTTCGAAACTACGCACTAGATCATTCGAGACTGCCTCTTTGCTCCCCTCCCCCCCTCTCCCTATCTATCTCTCCCGTATGATCCTGACGTCCTCTGCCACGAAACTCGAGAACCGATCGACGAAGGGCTCGTCTGCCTCGGCTGAGAACAGAAGAAGACCGGGGACCAACCTTATGCTGTACATGACTCCACCGTCGGGTGAGATCCGGAGAAAGACGTTCGGAAGGATGATGTTATGGAGGTGACCTTCTTTCTCGTTCTGGAAGAAGAGATCCGGCATCCACAGCTTGGTCGGGTCCGTCAGGGTCAGGTACTTGATCTTCCCTGAAACGCGATGCATGGTATTTTTGGAAACGGTCGAGGACTCGAAGCGCGGGTCCGTTCGCGTAAACACGACCTGCTCTTACCTCCCATGTCGTTGAAAGTCAGTCGGTCGTCCTTCCATTGCTCCCGGAAGGTCAGCTGAACGCTGTATTCCTACGGAGATCACACAGTTCGTCTCAGGAGCATTTCTCAAATGCGCATCGCTGCATGCCACCATCGTTTTAATTTCGATACAGACATCGAACAGAGATTTCAGGCCGCACTGCCACGAATGAAATTCGATGAGATCGATGCGAGGGGCAGGAAGAAATGAACCAAAAGGGAATGGAATAGCTTTCGTCGGCCTGTGCCGATCTGCTCGGATGATCCAATCTTCCAATCATTTCCGAGACCGATCGGGATTGGAACCAAGGATCGAGCATATTATTCCGCATGATCATATCCCGATATATGTCTAATTTTTAACGATAGTTATCAATATTAACAAAAAAATTTTCAAGCGATTAAATTAGTCAGCTTATTCTTGAGACTAGAGTTATTATCGTCAGCTGGAAAGAGATGCCGAAGCCAACCGGTTGATAGGGCATCTTTCGATTCAAAAAGTTGGGTATAAATGGCCTCGGAGCCCATGAATTCGGGAAAGTGCCATCCAACAAAGGATGAATCTAGACAAAACTGATTCATTTTCCTGGTCATTCAAGTCAGTCCATTTTACCTCGCGGACAGCGATGGGCGGATCCCGAATTCGATCCCGACATCGAATCCGGATTCGATTCTGAGATCCGGCTCCGCGTGAAATTTCCGAATCGCTCAGATTCTTAGGACCGAAATGCTAAGCCCTAGAATCAGATTGGAATCTCGAAGTAGGATTCCGACTCCCCATCGTCTGTGAATGCCGAAGCATATGATCGCGTCATCGGAAATCCGTTAGAAAACGCCCACCTGCATCCATCGGAGCCGAACGGCAGGTGGATCACAGGGAGATTTGGAATACGGTGGCTGTCCCACTTTGTGGAAATCCACCTGGACATCTCCCTACGTGCATTTGGAACCAAGTTGATGCCTCCCTCTGAGTGGAGTCGTAGCCAAGAAGACATCCCTCCAGCAGGTGAGTTTTCGTCCTACCTGATTCCAAACCCACTTAGAGGAGTGGACGTTTTGTAAGGAAATGATTGCACGAAGTAAGATGTTTCATCTTTTCTTTTCACAATCAAGAAGCCCAATCGACTCACTGCCGACGTAGAGCAGGCAACCGATAATCTCAACGGTTTCGATTAAGCTCTCGTTCGAACGGTTCATCGTTCTCAAATTCAAAATGATTCCAATCTGATTCGCTCGATATCTCGCTTCGGAATCCGCCTACCACAGCTTCGAGGCGAGACGGCGCAAAATTTCCACGCTTTACTTTGCGCCCGTGGAGATGACGAGACCGGTGAGTCGACGCGAAGAAACACGCATTTCAAAATGGCGAGTCTCTCGTGGAATTTGACCTCGTGTAAATGCAGCCTTAGATCGACGATCGCGATGACGACTTCGGTCCATCCTCGAACGGAGACGGTCGCAAAGGAGTTAAAGACACACGATGCAACCACGAGTAGAGACTGTAGAGACAAGAAGGATGGAGAATGCACGAGTGCAAGGATGAGGAGAGAAGACATTGGTGACGGATCCGGACGCGGAGAGGAACCCCCGACCTTCTCGAGACGGGAGACCACGGTCCCGGAGGCATTCCCTCCGATTCCCGGAAACATTGGACCGTCGCAGGAGAAGGTCGGAGCATCCGTCCGCGTCGAGATCCGCTCCCGAAAGCCACGCGGCGATCGGGTCGCTCTCTACGTCGACCGCAACCTCTACGGAAGCAAGTCTCTACGGTGCAACATCCACGGGCATCTCCGAGCATTCGTTCGTGCGATGTGACGGGTGGACCATGCATACATACGGTACATGCGGGCATTCACAAAATAAGGGGGTAAAAAAAAAATTAAAAATAAAAATAAATAAAAACAAATAATAAGAAGCGAAAATCCCATTCCAGTAGCTTCCCCGACTTCGACGCTTCTATATCGATCTCCCCCTTTTTTCCTTAAGAAACGCAAGGAACGCTGCCGCCCCTAACACCGACCGGCGACGTCTTTCGCTCGTTGCACCGGTGCTGACTCTTTCGACTATCACGTTCTGCCTCCAGGAGGTGAAGATCCGGCGAAGCGAGTAACGCATTCCACGTAGAGGGTGTGAATGGAGAGAGAGAGAGAGAAATAGAGCGAGCCGTTGGGGTGAAGGGAACCGAGAATCGGAGCTTTCGTCGACGAGCTGCCGAGAAGGAAAACGGACGCCCGCCTAAGCACCAACGTTGCACTTGTACGCGGCCGCGACCCTGCACCTGCACCGGTGCAGCAAATGGAGGACGCCGTCGGAGATGAGAGGAAACCGTATCGGTATCGGCATGCCACGACGTCGTGCCTTCTCGAAGGAATACGCAAAGGGGTAACGGAACCGATGTTTGGCAAATCACGTCCGACGCATCCGCAAAAAAAGACGAAGGAAATAATGAGAGAAGTTCCTGTCGGCGAAACGCACATCGGAGCCGTCCGTCGCGGAGTTTATCCCTCCCTCCCTCCCTTCCGACCTCCTTCCTTCGCTCCCGCCGACGCATCCGTGGCGTTCTCTCGCTCGGCTCTTTCGCGCCGTATCGAATCCTCATCCGCGCCCGTCGTTTCCCGCCTCCATCGTATCGTCGTCGGTAGGGCACGGCCGGATGCCGCGTCTCGCGCGTCGGGGTGCTCGAGGTCGCAACGCGGGATCGCGAAGAGTCGTTTCGTCACGGTGCGGAACCGTGCACCTGGCGGGACGTCTCTTTTCCCCTCCCACGGGAGTCCGAGGATCGGAAGGAAAAAAAAAAGAAACGAAGGGGGAAGCGGCGTGAAGGTGCATTCGCTTCTACGATCAGTGTATGCACAGGACACGGCACGTCGATAGAGCAAGATAGAAGACGAAGAGGGCACGAACGGGAGTTAGTCCTCGCTCTCTGCAGCGATCACTCACCATGGTAACATCATCAATTCTGCTGATGCTTCTAACGAAGATATTAATGTGAACGATAGTCGGTCCGTCGGTGGCGTTGTCCGGAATCCCGGTCCCTAAGATTCACGCAACCAAGAAAATCAATGAACAGATGGATCGGACCACGAGTGGAAGAAATCCCGTCCCGTCCGCAAACCACAATCGAAAACGTCTCCCAGCGGATAAAAATCGGGAATCTCCCTCTCGGCCGTTTTTCCCCTCCGAAAGTGGGTACCGAACGGAAACACGTCTCGAAAAAAAAATACAACTCCATGATTCTCACGCTTTCCTACTTATAAAAAAAAGGGAAGGCATAAGGAAACGAAACGGTGATGATGGTGATGGTGATGACGATGGATCTACGGGCCGGGGTCTCAAAACTTCGCCAGATGTGGCCTACCTCTCTCAACTTCTACACGGTCATGGGATCTAATTATACCATTCACTATGAGAAAAGAGAAGGTAAGTTGCATTCCGTGATGAGATTCCTCCGATCGTGACTCACCATGACAACATCGTCAATTTTCGCAATACTTCGCACAAATAGGTTGATGGTTACGATCGCTGGACCCTCTGAGGACACAAAGACAAGGTCGAGTTTGCAACTTTCGCACGTTTTTCACCAATGATAAACTAGGATTCAGACGCGCTTCGATCCTCGTGCGTTCGAGAACGAATCGTAAAGCGAGAAGCATGACACTCTTGGGGTTCTCGAAACGACACGAGTTTCTGCGATGCGAACGTCGCGACGGAGAGAAAATGAGAAAAGTCGATGCATGCAATCGGGGAGAGTTCCGTCTTTCTCGGAGAAAACCGTTTCCACGATGACGTTATTACCGAGCGAAAACCCCCACTTTCCCCGGAAAATCGTGTATTATTTTTCCCCGGGTCGTCCCCCGTCCCGTGCCGCGATCGCGACGGATCGCACGTCATCGGAAAGTCATTTGCATCCGGCTTTCCGACCGTATGCAATTTTCCGTCACGATAGAACGCTCGACGAGCCGTCGAGGGGGAAGAATCATCTATCGGTCGAGATAGGCACGGCAGAAAAAACTCACATCGAGTCCTCCCTCTATCGTGGAGCGACTCAAAACGAGGGGGAAAGAGGGGGGGGGGGGAAGGTTCTTCTTTGTTCTACGCTGCGTCCCGAGAAAATCTTTGGAATATTGTTTGCAAAACGGGAGTCGTATTCCTCGCCTCGTGTACGATCGTAGAAACGTGAAATGGGTCCATCGGAAAGGTAAGACCTCGACCTCCAGAGCTGGCATTCTCTTGGCTTTCCGAACCGTCATGCACTTGGCTTTTCGAGACGTCATGCACTTGGCTTTCCGAGCCGCCACGTTCTTGGCGTTCCGAGCGGTCGTTCTCGTGGCTTTCGGTGCCGTCGATGCTCTCACGGACGCAACCCCTGCAGCTTTTCCGCTTCTTCTTCCTTTTTTGTTCCTTTTTCCGATGCGATAAGGAAGGACGATGTCGGACTTTTCGCACGATTGCCTCTTGGGAGCAGTCGAGACGGTCGAGAATTCGGCGCCCCGTGGATGCCGTCGTTCGGTACCGAAACGGGGAATCCATACCCGACCGCAGTCGTTTGCATCCGGCTCGCTTCGGGACCCCAGACGGAGAGACGAACGTCGCGACGACGACGAACTCTTCTCGTTCTAAATAACGCTTCCTTCGCTTCGAGAAATTCTCATCGAAAGAGATCTACTCCGTGTCTCGAGACGAAAAAGAGGGACGCTTCATTTTTTGTGTCCACATCCTATTTCGTGCGAGCCTCAGTTTTTCTGCTCTTGGAATCTCAGAACAGTTCCGCCGAGTTGAAACGAAAATCACAACCCGTGGTTCAAATGCAATCAATTTTCAAAAATTAAGGGTGGATTTTTGAACAGAGAACTATCCGATAATGCAGCTTTAATCTGAAATAAAGCAGCATTATCGGATAATGCTCTGTTCAAAAATCCACCCTAAGTATCGGAAATTGCAGCGAAGAAACTATTCGCACGTTGCTCCTAGCAAGATGCAAAACTGCGGGATACAAAATTCTCTAGCGTAGGCAATCTTAGTGAGAAAATTCTTCTTCCTACTTCATATCTTGTGTTTTCACTTAATTTTTTTTGCGAAGGTTGTATTTTTAACATTTTATCATCGTAATTTATTACGTAGGCTTAAGGTCTAACTCTCCGTTCTCACAGCTTTTCGTCATGTCATCAATCACAGTATTCAAAATTACGAAGAGCACGATGGAAGTGAATGAAGAGGACTATAGTGCCTCATTTTCGGCTTGCGAGAGATGTAGGCATACAACTCGCGTCGTTTCGTGAAGAAATTCCTGAAAAAACTGATCGCGAGAAGTCGTTAAAACAATGCTGAAATTGGATCGACCGACAGAAAATGTAGAAGCGTCAGTCCGTGTGAGACCCGAAATGCTGCCGAATTTTTCGATACTTCAATTTTGAAAGGCATTTGAAGCACTGGTAATTCTTTTTGCGTTTGGTATGAATCACTTTTTATTCACCTGATACGTCAAAGCATGAGCTTTCCACGATATCGGTGAAGACATTTAAATAAATAACCTCCCCCCCCCCCCCAATTTTCTTGAGACTTGATATAACCTGAAATTCGAGGAAAATAAAAGCCATGGGAGTTGGTAAGTAAGCATGCCACTCGGGTCTGAAGGCACGAAGGCACCGAAAAAGGCGTTCGGAGGGAAGAGGAAGAGGAAGCGAAGAGGGAGCGTTCGGATGGCACCTGACACGGTACGACCGGTGCTTCGGTACACGGCAAGGGAAGCGATGGGTTTCGACGTGTCGAGTGGCGGGATGCGGGCGCCTCCTCCGCGACGTCGGATGTTAGCGTTGGCAGGTCTTCAACGCGACTGCCAAATGCTCGAGAAAAGGCAGAGGGTATGCAAACACACCGAAATGGTGGAAATCCCTCTCTCGCTCCCATTCCCCATTCATTTCCCTTCCGAGGCGATTCATCATCGCCGCAAGGATACTCGGGCGAGAATCTTCCTTCCCTCGTTCCCCCGTTCCCCTCGTTCCCCCGTTCCCCTCGTTCCCCTCCTTCTGTTGATGGACGTTTCGCGATGATGATCGTCGGGAAATATGCCGGTCGTTAATCTCTTGCGATCGGCAGAGGAACACGGACGGATCTCGTGCACCGATCGACGATCCTCTTCGATCGTACGAGTTTTCTCGACTTTTCCTCTCGTGGTGGTTCCGAAGGGAACTCTCGAGGATTTTCGGGAGTCCCGATGGCATGCGATTTGCGAACGCATCCATTCGTGCATACGTGCAGGAATACTTCACTTCGGGGAGAGTCCGGCTCGACGATCGTCGAGTTCGAGAAGGAAGAGGAGGCCTCAGTCTTGGGAAATACTCCAAATGCGGTAGGGAAAGAAGAGTGAGAATCGTTCATCATGCCCTTCCTCGAAACTCTCCGAAAACGTTCGGTCGATCCCAGGTCACCGCTTCGGTCCTACGGTGTATCGCTCCCGATGCCAAAAAGGTCCCCCGTTTTTCCTCCGCGTCGGCACGGTTACGGCGGTTTTGCGGATCGTTCGGCAATTTTTCTCCGGAGCATCGACGAAAAGACACACGAAGACGTTGCATCGGTCATCGATGCCGTTCGAGCTCGCGACGAGAATTTTAATGCGAGAATCGTCGAAAAGAGAGAAGAGCGAATCTGCGAGAACCGACCTGTGTTATTGACGCCCGAGGGTCGGATGCGGGCGTCGTATTGGGTCCGGTTTTTCCAGTCTCTCCCGTCCCCGTCTTTCCCGGGTTCCCCGAGGATCGTGTCCAGGATGTCTTTCTCCCGTTCCCTGAAGTTCACCACCGCCCTGCGAAAGAGAACGAGACGGAGGGTCGAGGAGGGAAAAGGGAAAATGGCAATTTCCTCGAGTGACGTCGAAGAGAAGATTGAAATTCATGGCAGGTCCTCGACGAGGTCGGAGGGGAGGAACTTCCAGCTCTAATCCGACCAGACTTCGCCTCGGAATCTCAATGAGTCCCTTTCTCTCCCCCTCTCTTTCTCTCTCTCTCTCTCTCTATCCCCCCCCCTCTCTCTCTCTCCTTGCAAAACCAGCTCTCCTTCGCCGCCGCGAGCCACAACGAAGTTGGGTGGGGAGGGAATTCGTCGCCGTCCATTCGCTTGGAATCGATCCTGGAATCCCTAACCCAGCTCCAACTTTTCGTAATGGCACGAGATTAATTATGGAACGAGAAAGCGTCGCCGTCGAAAACTTTCCTCAGTCCGAAGCCGAAGTCATCTTCCGTCTTCGTTCCGGGATCGCACGGAGGAAAGACGAAGGGGACGCGAAGGAGACGCGAAAGTCGACGTCGAGGAATCCTCGGGAACGAAAGTTCTTCCTCACTTCTCCTTCTCCTTCCGTTTCGCATTCCGTACCTCGCGAACGAACGGCACGCGAAGACAAGCGACGCTCCCGCGTTCTACGAAGTTTCGGGGGAGTCGAACGACATTTAAAAAAAAACACAACGAAATGAGAGAGAGAGAGATCGTGAGAATTTCGCGGTGGCTCGCAGATGTAGATCCTTCTAGAGGGAGACGTCGGGAAATATCAATCACCGCTCGGGTTCCGAGGGGGCGAGAGAAGAGAAAAAAGGCCGGGGGGGGGGGGGGGGGGGGGGCGGGGGGTCTCCGCGGTGATGAAGAGCACCCTTCCCTCTTAGGCGTCTCTTCGCTCTCCTTTATTTGATGGCATTTTTCACTGACCCACTCCTCTCGACGTGCAGTGCGAGTAGTCCTCCTCGATCCGCGTCGGAATGGGGTAGGCGATAAAACACCATCTCCTCTTCCATCGGCCCCGACTTATGGGAGCCCATAAAAGGGAGCGTCGGATCCCGCGACACTCTCCTCTGGGGAGAGGAATGGGGAGGGGGAGGGGGGGGGGGATCTCCAAAGGCGCCCGCGTTTACGACGCTCTCGAGTCTCGATCCGAGGACGACTTGTCCATTTATAAGCGGGATTCGTATGAATTTTAATTCGCCCTCGCGACGACCGACTTCCAGCAGACGTCGGTCGGTGGTCGGTGTCGGAGTCGCTTCCTTTCTCGAAGGCCGTTCGCATGCTAGTACTGCGAAAGATTCGATCGGCGTGCGACGACGAAGGCCGAGGATCGAAGACGATCGCCTCGTTCTCCGCGTCGTTATCCCGCACGGGTGCAGGTCACCCGGGTGCAGGTCACCCGTACGTCCCTCGACGTCGCGGAAGGACGCAACGGATCCGATCGAAGCGACGACTCGACGAGCGAGCGAAAGCGATCGGTGGGAAGTGTCCCCAGGGCTGGATCGAATCGCTGGTCGATTTCAAAGCCGCAGTTCAGTTGCAGTCGAACCGTATCCCTAAGACGGTCCCAGTTTGCAGTTGCAGTCGACTGAAACTACGACTGGACTTCGAACGGACCGAGATTTTGATATCATTCTCCGGTTCCC